GGGGGGAATGAGGAGTTTGAGGTAATCGGCAAAAACAGTGTATTTTAGAAACAACGAGTTGAACAACAAAGAAGACAAAATCGAAGGCAAGAAAAGAGTTTTTGGTAGAAGAAGGAGTGGTATCCAAAAAAATCGGAAAATTCCTGAGTGAGTGGTTGGAGGTGCGGTTGTCGGAATCGCAGATGAGACAGCTCACACGGGCATTCCTACATGCCATCGTAGGCGGGACCTTCGCCGCCTTGTGGGTTGACCCAGTTTATGTTCTGCGATACATCCTTGATGTCACAGGTTTTGCAGTGAATACAATTCTGCGCATTGATCTGCAGAGTTGGCTTACCGTCGATATTTACGTATTCATAAACACCTAGAACATTTTTACAAAAAAATAGATTAAAGAAGGTTATCAAAAGATAAAGGGTGAATCAATTGCGTCGCTAAGACCTTTTTTTTAAAAAAAGAAGTAGGAGCCAAAATACCAAGATGGACAGTAATTAACATGAAAGAGGGGACAGATGAACGTAATGTCTAAAAATTTGACTTCGCAACTTGTTCACAAGTGCGTGAACAGCTAGGAAAATTTCCAACAAGTTCAAGGAATACAAAAGGGAAGTTCTTATCAAAGTCAGGCAGATTTGGTTTGGTCATACACTTAAATCTCCGAAGCAGTTATTTACATATTCACACAGTTTTCGTCTAATGCTATCCTTTAGCCTGCCGATTAACCAAAGTTCACACTTCCTAACCCATAAGAAATCCAGCTGGGTCAGATCGCAGTGCTTTTCTAACGATTTCTTGTTACAGCGTTGAGCCAACTGGCCTTAGTTTGACCACACGACTGGAAAATTTTCTGTATAAATGGATCTGCTACTCTTTGGACAGCTGGGGTCTATGAAGGACAAAAGAAGGAAGTCACCAATCGTCTATCAAGATAAAAGCTATCCTTTGATCGGCAGTATGTCCAGTTGCCTCGTGTAGGAAAGCACGCCAGACAGCTACGAGAATATAAAAAGCGTGAAATTTAAACTCCGACTGCTAACAATTACGACAGGAGGCGTTCGTGTGATGAACACAGAACAGTATGGAATCAAGTCGCAAATTTAACACGTGGGATTCCAACAACGAGTCACAATGGATGCCAACAAACTTCCGTTTAGAAGCACCTGCGGGACAAAAGCGTTGCTCGGGGCCATCGTAGATTGGAAAATTGATAGTCTCTGGTACGGTGTCATCGTACAGTGTGAGATGAGAAGGTTCGTTGGCATCGTGATTGGTTCCAGTGAGTGCCACGGAGGTGAGGAGGTCGAAGCTTTTTTTGCCGTCTGGAGTCGGATAAGCAATACGTCTGCACTCCTTTGCCGGTTTCAGACGACTAGAGTCGGCTTCTGAAATAACCGGTGCAAAAGGAAAAAGGAAAAAAAAAGGAAAAAAGGAAATGCCCAGTGTTAGAAAGA